TCTCTCTCTCTCTCTCTCTCTCTCTCTCTCTCTCTCTCTCTCTCTCTCTCTCCTTTGTAAGGTTAATTATTCATGTATTAATTCATTTTATCTGTTAGAATTTTTTTAGCTAATACATTTTAGGCGGTTTACTTTATGTAATATTTTCAATCATTTTCCCTACAGAAGCAGAGTCTCCCCCTAGTGGCCAGTACTGTTACCCCGCCTCCGTCCTAGGCCACGAATACCAGACTAGGCGACAACAGATTAGCAGGCTGCACAGGTAGATTTTGACTCAGACACAGAGATTATCAGATTGTACGATCTGATCTTGGCAATTGTCTCACACATAATTATATTGAGCATGGATACAGATTTTTATTTCATATGTCACCCCAACCCCCACCCCCACCCCCCCAAAAATATCTTTCTTATCTCCCTACCCTCCTTATCCTGTTCTAACCTCTTGTAGATGTTTAAAAAGTTTCATTAGTTTGGTGAATAATGTTATGTAATAGAGATCAAAAATCACTTTTATCACATACTGAGAAATTTCTTTTTATCGCAAACAGAGAATGAGAGATATTTTGATGTACTGAGATTGAGGAGGAGGATGATGAATGTCACATGGATATATCTTATCTGAGTATGGATATTTTCTGAGTTTGTGACAAAAGGTCTTTCATCTTTATCCCCTTCCACTGGGTTATTTCAGTGATATCCAGAAGATAACCTACACACATAAATCACAAAATAAATTGTCTTTCATCTCTGTCCACTCCTACTGTGTTATTTCAGTGATATCCAGAAGAGAACCTACACACAGAATCACAAATAAATTATCTTTTCATCTCTGTCCTCACCTACTGTGTTATTTCAGTGATATACAGGAGACAGACCTTCTCATGATAGATGGGATGATAGACGAAGAAGCTGCGGCTGTCAGGGCTCTCTGGAGTAAACAGGGCGGAGCTGGGCTCTACCCTCCCAAGAGTCTACATGTAAGTGCGTATGCCTCTAGGAAATACTCTAGGGAATACTGGTATTTTGTTGGTAGTAAGAGGGAAAGGTTGACAGAGACTGCTTATAAATCTGTGCAGGGTTGAGATTTTTCATCTTTTCAGGGGATTTCCAACCTTTTAGGAGCAAAAAAATATTATTGGCCTAAGTGGCCCCTTGGCCCCCTTGCCATGTTTTTCGACTTTTTCACTAAATGGCAGTCTCATCCCTGTATGATGTTCAACACGAGTGGGTACACATCCGCATTGACAAGCACACACTGGTGAAGTATGCAGTAAAACACAAAGAGACGGTACACAAACTTTAAAAAGTTAATCCATCTATTTAGCTAAAACAAATTTTACATCATAATGGGCCCAAAAATTTGATATTATACTTTTCATTATTTTCAACTGTTTTGTAACCATATTCCAGGCTTTACTGACAATATATTTGTTGGAAAACATCTCTCTGGCCAGTAAACACAGTCTGGTGGCTTACTTCTTCCTGGACCTCATCTCTATGATGGGAGAGAAAGATCAGAATGTGAGTAGATGAGATGGATTTAGATTATGTTGTCTGCTTCATGATAATACTTCTTCCTAGACCTCATCTCCTTGAGGAGCGAGAAAGATCAAAATGTGTTATGGTGTTTACTTATATATTACTGTTTTCAACACTAAATATTATACAATCTTTATACAACATTTTTTTTATTTAGATCTGCCCAAACAGTAAACAAGCCAGCTTAAGCTAACAAGCCTGCAGACCGTTCATATTTTTGAATATGAAAAAAAAACAACAAAAGTTTTCCTGTGTACTAAATAATATCTGTGCAATTATGCTCAGAAGGTATGGATTTGGATCTTAACAGTGTTTTTTTTATCTATTCATATTTTATTGTACACTTCCATTTTTATTATTTTTAACAGTTGGTAGACAGACTGAGCAGATTCTGCCAAGCCATCCACCTTCCTCAGAGTAGAACTAGGATGATCCAGGGGTTTTGGCTGCTGGATCATAAAGACTTTGAGGTAAGATATTCCACAAGTTTAAGATTTAATGTGCTAGAAATGGTGGTTGAAATATTATAATAATTATTATAATAAAAGTTTTCTGGGTGTTAAATGGAAGATGAATTAGTAAACCAGTTGTTTGTGAATTACAAGGTTTTGAGGGATTGGATTTGGATAGCATGATGATTCAGGGTAAATTACAATGTTTTGAGGGATTGGTTTTGAATAGCATAATGATTGCAAAGTGAATTGACAAATTATTCAATCAAAGAAAAAAGCAGTTTTGCAACAGTTGCCTTATTATCACCATTTTGACTCAAATATCTTTGTTGTAAATGTGTGTTCAACTTTTTTGGGTATTTATGCTGGAGTGAGGGTAGATTAATTGGTGCTAAATTCAACCTACTCCATTTATACTTTTATTCTGATTTGTTAACCACATTTCACCTGTTTCCATGGTTTCTTTCCCAGGAGGCTGTTTTACTCCTCCTAGACCCCATGTTGCTAGAGGAGATGTTACCATGGCAACACAACAGAATCATCAAAGCGTTCCTGTACCAGGGAGAGGAGAAGATCGCCCTCAAGTTCCTACGTGTGAAGAAGCCACCCCTGGTGACCCCCGAGGATGTCAGGTTACACCTCACTGTGTTGTTGGCCAATGGGTAAGTAATGAGGTCAGAGGTCAGAGGTTAGGTTGGGAAATCTTGAAACTTGACTGTGACTTCCACCTTCAGAATATGGATCATATAGACTAGAATGCTTCAAAAAATAACTTATCTATCTCAGTTTAAAGATGAAGGTATAGGTGTTAGAAAAATGATTTGGAACAAACACAAATATTTCAACAAGTGTGATTGGATTTAGTCTTCTTTCTTAAAAAAATCTATTTTTTACCAACTGTCATTTATTCTGTTTCTTGATCCCTTTGTTACATCTCTGTATATGTGCCGTCTTTGACATCTGTATTTGATTAATTTCATTTTAATCAGAAATCTAAAGCATTTAAATACCAAAAACTGTGAATAAAAGTTTGTGGTTTTCTGCTATTTTTTTCAGCCTGATATCTGAAGCCTTTGAATACCAGAAAGTGTGCAGTAATAATGAGAGGGATAATGATAATTTACTGGGACATCTCTTCACTGCCTGCCAGCAGAGTAAGTGACACATTTCTGTTAAATGATATTATGCAATATATTGTATTTATGATTATATAACTGATAAACAAACATCATTGCAAGTAGACTCTAGTGTAAAAGCATAAGATGTGAATATGACATTCATAAGAATTCTTTGTCACCCTGAAACTTTTATTTATATAAAATTGTTTGCCATTTATTATGTCAAGAAATACTAGCTTTTTATTTAGTGAAACCTTTCCTTGTCTAATTGCACCCCACCTCTTCAACCTTCACCACCATCCAAATGACACCTATTCGTAATTTTTACGTCACTATTTTCAGCCAAGACAATAGACCGTCTCCTACAGTTACCGCTCACAGACGGGGAGGAGAGGCAGCTCTTACAATATCTGCGCGACAGCAAGGAAACACGCAACATGGAGATCCTCATGCTGCACTTCCTGCAACGTGCACGCTATGTGGAGGCCATACGACTCAACGAGAAACTGGGGCAGACTTTACTTGTGAGTTGTTGCTTTGTTATATACCCACTTGTGTATCAACTCTATTGAGTTTATTAAAAGAGCGTTATATTTATTACTATTGGAATAAAAATGAATCTGGATATTTCATATCTGACTTTGGTGTTGGCTTTTTTTTTTTTTTTTTTAGATCTTTTCACAACTAAGATGATAAGCTGTCTCCACTTTTTCAGTCATCAACACATGCTGAGAAAACACTTTCCATGGTGATAAAAAACTCTTGGTTATTTCTCCCTATTTTTTTCATATAGCACGAGAGTGATCCTAAGACCAGGGAGAGAGCTGCCGCCAGAAACTCCATTGTGGACTGTTACTCCAAGGTCCTGCCCAGCGTCCAGAGAAAGCTGACCTTTGGCAATGACCACAGGCCAAAGAAGACTATGCATTTGACCAGGAGAGAAAGTATGTGGAGAGTATTTTCTTGGGATTAACTTTATTATGAGATATTTTTCTCATTCTGGCCTTGTCACTGAAGCTGTGTGGCTGTCTTTTTGTCACAGTTACTTTAAAGTTCACAGAAATATTTTCACTTGAAATCATGGTAAAACTGTTTTCTGGTGTCTTATATTACTCTCAGATTTGTGACTCTGGTAATTTATTAATCTATTTAGGTATGTATTTATTTGTTTATTTATTTATAGTTCAGCGACCCCGTCCCCTGTCAACAGTAGTGCACCATAACAACAACCAAAAAGTAATCTCTAACGCCATGTTGATCAATGCTGTACTGGAGAAGATAGGAGAGACACGACCACCGCCAGAGCAGACTCCTGTCAGGAACAGGTGAGTGAGGGAGGGGGAGGGGGGGAATTGAGGGGATGTGAAAAAAAAGGAGAGACGTGGCTGCTGCCACAACAGACACCTGTCAGGAACAGGTGAAAGAGGGGGGGCAGGTGGGGGGGGGGGTGACAGCAGATTGGTTACTTTTACATTCCAGCAAACGCCAGAGGTACTCAACTAATGACTAATAGAATTTGTTCCTTAATGTTTGATAAGCAAATTTCATGTACTAAGTCTAAGTAGAAAAGGATTGCTTTATTGTTACAGGAGATGAATTCAAACATGCACAGGAACATGCACATGATTACAAATAAGCCTGACAGGCGTTCCGCACTAAGACCCCATTCCCATAGATTTTAGATCGATCTATCCCTGTGGATAGTCTCACTAGATTACTGTCAGCTTAGCCGGCTTAAGCATCTGTCCCACCTACTAAAAGCTGTAAGGGGGTAATTAACTATGGTGCGTGCTCGGCTGACTGCAATTTAGCGTAAACCCCCAGTTAGGTCGATCTAAATCTAAACCTCTGGATCGATCTAAATCTCTGGGAATGCACCCTAATACACACCAGCATACGCTCATGCACACAACAGTCTGTTATTGCACACAAGCACATGGGTCTCTGCAGTTACTCATGGTACACACTCCATTTCGTGTATTTCCAGACCGCAGCCTTCTGATGCAGCACTGGGTCCCTTCATCTGCACTCCTGTCACGCCCAGAGCCAAGTCTAACCTTATCAGGTAATAATAATAATAATAATAATAATAATAATAATAATAATAATAATAATAATGTGTTAAAAAGTGGAAAGATAACTGGCCAAATATATGTTTTGGTATTAGAATAGTAATAATTAATAATAATAAGTACTTGTTACAAAACAAGTTGTCCACTGTATGTTAATTAGGGGTATCCTAGGACAGAGAAAATACCACATTATGCTTCTTGCACTTTTAATCTTCATACTTATTGTTCCATGCAACTGTTTTCTATATGAGTGAAATCATTCAGATAGTGTACCTTGATATCTAGAGACTTTGAAAAAGAAGGAAAAAACCAAAGAGTTGTGCTGTATTCTCTAGTACCTTTATGAAGGAATATTTTCTTGTTCTCTCTGCAGTGAAGACACGGAGATAGTATACCCCAGCATACAGAGGGACACCAGGACGGAGGAGAGATCCAGAACAGTGTCACCTGTGAAGAAAATGGTGACAGGATTAATGCCTCAGACGCCGCTGGCTTCACCTGTGACAGCAAAGAACCAGAATGTCAACAGGTAGACTCCTTACATAACAACAACTGTCAGATGTGCCGACTTAGATATTTTCTGAATGCTTTATCTCCATCTAAAATAATTGAAAAGATGTTTAAGTTAACTTTGTGCTGAAATTTTTTCGACTGCAAGTTGCCTCCTTGGAGTTATTGCCCTTGTTTGGCCACTTAGTGGTTCTTACATTTAAAAAAATTGGTTTTATTTATTTATTTATTTGTTTTATGTACAGGATACTAAGCACAGAAGCCCTCTCCCTTCTTCAAACACCCCCTGTAAAGAGAAGGACGCCCCCAACGTTGAAGAAGCTGACGTCACTCCAGCATACTCCTCAGTCCATTCTCAAAGTTCGTCAGGTGGTCAAGCGTTCACCAAGTCCGAGCCCCCTTCAGCAGGACCAGCCACAGACCATTAAGAGACTCTGTAAGTGCTAGTTGTCAGTTTGTACTATTCACTTATCCACCAGATGGGAAATGTTTTTTTCTTAGATTGTAGATTATTTTGCTCAAGAATATTATTTTGATTGTTCCATTTTTTTTTTTCAATTTTTACAATTGATCTTTAACAGCAATATTAAATAGTGTTAATAACTTTTTAGATTTACTTTAAAAACTAATAAAAATGGTTGATTTTTCTTTTTTATATTCCTCTTTTTATTTCACTGATACATTTTTTAGTCACTCTAAATTGAAAATATATTTTCAGTGAGCAGTAGACAAGAAATAAGACTTTTACCATGGCATATTTTATTTTTTCCCAGCATTCCTCAATGCTGACCTCGCTCTGGAGACTCCACCCAGGTATCAGAGGAAAAAGGTCGAGGTCAGAAAAACCAAGGTCAAGGACACTCCAAAGCATCTGAGGTTTGCTGGCCTGTCCACACCGTCACCAGAACCAAGTCCACCAAAGCTGCCGTCTCCGCGTAGAACACGTCGGCGAAGTCCGACACCAGAAAGGTAGGTTGAAGAGAAAGAAAGTAGCGACCTGTATGCAGCCAGAGAGATAAGTTGGAACAATTGACTTTGGCGACTTTTTTTAAATTTTGAAGTATTGAGAATCAAGTGGTACTTTATACAAATGTAGACAATTGTGTAATTGTTCATTTCATTTGCTTTTTTATTGTGGTAGTTGTGATAAATGGTTTCATGATTAAAACACTTGTCATAATAGATAATTTCCCCAAGCCGTTGTTATCTTAAAAAAATTAAGAGAAAGAGATTGGTCTTGACAACTCAAAATATTATTATAGTAACCTGCTTTGTCATACTCTCTCCCCCATTGGCCTGCATAGAATCTCTTTTGCAATGGGGGGGGGGGGGGGNATTATCAGAGGTATAACCACATATCCAAACCTAAAATTAATCTGTCACTTTGACTTCCAGAGGAAGCAATGGAGACCACCGAGGACGATGGTTCTTCCATAGTAACATCCACTACCTCTACTGGACTTGGTCATCAAAGGGTCAGTTTCCAGTTAGAGAATAACAATGAGGAACAGGTGCTCTCAGGTGATAGGGACTCACCTCCAACTGTGGACTTGACCACGACAGAAACGGAGTCAGGAGAGGCCAGTCTGGCTCCTTCCAGTAGTGAACCTCTTCCAAATTTGGAGGAAGAAAAGATGGACATTGATGAAAATGCTGAGTCATCTGCTCCTTTGGAAAATGATAAAAATGTATCAGAGAAGATAAAACTTCAAGCTGGGTCAGTGTTAAGGGATGATGAAACTGTGACATTAGCACCTTTGGTTGTGATACCTCCTGATTCTGTCACCACTTTGGAACAGCCGTCGCCAGTCAGGAGGTCCCCAAGATTTGCTCATTCTGAAATATCTGAACAGGTATGTCAAGTGAAAGTGAGAATAGTTTGAAGAAGAAGATTTTATGTTACACCATTTTGAAATAGAAAGTTCAGTGTAAAAGAGTAGATGGAAAGTGTTGTCTGAATCTTACAGGCTACACTCTGGACATTCTTTTTATTGTTTGAAATTCTTGGGACATTTTGTAAAAAAAAAAAAATTATTTCTGTACTTTTTTAATTCAACAAGGTCAACAACTTCAGAGCAAGACCCTAGGTTTAACACCAGAAAAATTTCATTAAAACCAACATTCTTTATTTATTTTTATTTTTTTTTTTTCAGACCTCGGAGTTCAAAACTCCGCCCCGACCGTTCCATCTCTCTCCACGTCCCATCTCCCTGCCAGCTCTTCCCACACCTCCAGAGTCAGTGAGAGGCTCACCAACCAGGTCTCCCAGCAGACTGCTTAGACAGGTGAGTAGTTAAAGGAACAAGGACTCTATATTTCACAATAAATGCATTGTTACCAACTCATAGAAATATACTACATCCTATTTTACCACAGTTATAGCAAGTAACCTGAAATCTGTGCTTGTCATCACACCGCATGACCTTCATAGATGGCTATACTCTGAAATAATCTGTAAAGAAAATATTACAAAAAAAAACTTTGTAGAAAAAAAACAGTGACTAATTTTGAATGTAAAAATTGATTCTTTAACCATTGGCAATTATGGGGAAATTGCTGTTTACCCCAGAAAATTAATTTTTTTGTCCAAAATGAACAGTTGTTATCCTTTTAACTAGGGCAAGTTTCTCATTTGAATTAAGCCCTCATTTGAACTTGAGACTAAAAATTAATTTAAAATTATTGATAATTTGTCTTGGTATACTTACGCAATACATTTTGTATGTTTCTCAGACTTTCAGCATTCTACGTTTCCTATCTCTGTACACTGACAATCTATTTTAACTCAACATCCTGCATTTCCTATTTCCGTACATTCTTAAAATCAATTTTGACGTGGACTCTTATGGGATATGCTAGAATCAGATTTACTTAATGACCTGTATTGTAGTGTATACATGTATTGTTTCTTGTTTAATGTTAAGCAACTTTCTGTAACTGTATACAACATTTACAGCGATCAGCGTCAAGATCTCCCTCAAAATCACCTCCAAGACATGCCCCCGAGATGGAATCCACGATTGCTGCAGAACAGGTCAAAGGTCGCAAGTCCCCATCCAGAACCCGAAAGTCGCCAAGCAGGTCCAGAACTCCAGAAAGGAAAGCTCCTAGTCCAACCCGCACAAGAGGGAGTTCAGAAAGTCCTTCAGGTTCGCCTCTGTCTCAGGAAGCAAGGGCAGCAAGTCCTTCTAGAACAATTCAGTCAAAGGGAAGGAAATCCCCAAGTCGGGGCACTAAGTCCCCTAGTAGATCTAAATCTCCTGTCAAAGACAAAGATCAAGCAGCAGAAAATGTAGAGGATGTTGGTGAAAAAAGTCCTACTAGAAGAACTAGGAAGTCACCGGCAAGATCAAAATCGCCAGAGAAACTATCAATAAGTCCAAGAAGAACGCGGGGCAGTACACCTAGTAGATCGGATTCCCCTGAAAAAGATCAAATATCACGTCGAACTCGTGGCAGCACACCTACCAGAACTGAACTTCCAGAAGGAGAACAACAAATATCAAGGAGAACTCGTGGTAGTACACCGAGCAGGACAGAATCCCCTGAGAGAGTGCCTCAAAGTCCAGGAAGAGGCAGAAACCAGAGACAGAGTAACAAATCTACAGAATCTAAGACTTCGCCAAGTAGGCCAAGGTCACCTGAGGTCAAACCCAAGAGCCCTGGGAGGGGCAGAAAAACTCCAGCAAAAAGTGTTGCTGGCAAGGAAAAGGACAGGACACCTAGTCCCTCTAAATCCCCACAGGGGGCACCACTTGGCAGTAGACTGAGGACAAGAAAAGCCACTGAAAGTAACGTTCCAACAGAGGGCAGCACGGAGACACTCAGTGATAAGGACAAATCTCCGGACTCTCATGCTCCTGTTACTAGGGCTAAAAGCCCAGCCAGGATGAGAAAAACACCTGCAGAAAACTTGAAAAAATCTGTGATAATTGAGGTCGACAATTTGACATCAGAAGGGTCGCCTGAAGTCGTGCTCAAGAGCCCAAGTCGGCAGCGTAAATCTGGAGGGCGAGGAAAAAAGACTTCAAGTGCAAAAGAACCCAGTACATCAGAAAAGTCTTCCGAGGAGACAGAGACAGAGAAAGAAACGGTCCCTCAGGCTAAAAGTCCCTCCAGGAAGGGGAGAAAGTCCCCCAGTAGGTCCCCAGCTGCCCCTCAGACCACAGAAGTACCTCAGGAGGAGGTGAAAAATGCCGCAACTGTTCCCAAAAGTGTTCCCAGGAGGGCCACCAGGGCCACTAGAGCCAGCAGCGTGGACTCTGAAGTGACCGGTAATATTAAAAGCCTCAGCTAATGAAGTAGAATATATTTTGATTTTATTATACATTTATGTGAAAGATACAAAAATTTTTTTTAATTCCTGTGATACTTTATAAAATATGATTTCAGTGATGATATTGACATAATGGTAGTTATCTAAAGTTTTAAGTCCTTTTAGATATTCAGTAGACTTTACAGAGTAATAATTTAAGGAATTCATACACAATTATAATCAGAGAAAAATAGGCATTTGAAATAGTAAGATAATATATATAAATAAACTCCACTGAAAATAAAGAAATAATCCTGATCAATGTGATTATTTTAGACACTGATGTCCCTGCTCAACCCTCAGAGGTGGAAGAGACCCCAGTGACATCACGAGCAAAATCAGTGAAAAAGATTGGCGCCAAAACCAAGTCTACAGGTAGAAGTCCTGCCAGGACACGTAAGGCGAAGAAGTCCGAGGAAAAAGGCAAGAAAAAATTTAGAACTGTGAAATTATGTGGATGATTTTGAGTTGCAGTGGGTTTTTTTTCAGCTAATTTAACAATAGACACAGACTGAATTGGTGTGCTTTGCTGTGTTATGTAGTTTTAATTGGGAATTGTTAAAATTAAGAATTCCTTTATGATATTGGCATATTTGTACAATCAGCACCAATTACAGCAGTTTTGCCATTATTTAAATAGTTTGGTTTTTTAAAGACACATTTTGCTTACAGTCACTATACTACTAAGGATTATAATATGAGTTTGATGTGTGTGTGTTTTTATTATTTATTCTAACAGAACAACTACAGTTCACATTTTCTGAGCCTACAGTGATCCCCCATGATTTAGGTAAGATGGCTGTAGCCTGTTTCACAAAGTCCTAAGTCATTGGACTAAAATCCTAGCATATTAAGACTGGGTTCCTGTGCCTAGATCAATCTAACTGGATCGACCCATCTCCAAGGGGTTTCTCGCTAACTGCTTTTAGCTTAAATGGCTTAGATGTCTGGCACGCCTATTGAAGCCTTTAAACGATAGTTAATTACCCTCTAACAGCTTCAGTGGGCGTGCAAGACATGTAAGCTGCTTAACTCGATAGCAATTTAGAATCCCCTAGGGAGAATCCCCTTGGAGCGATGGCAGATATATTAAATGAAAAATGAAAGGCCAGTCATTCTTTAAAAGTTTGACAGGAATATCATTGTGTCGACTCTTCATAGTTGGATATTTTATTGGAGAAATAATCAATTTCGTCCAAGAGTTTTAGGTTTCTTGTGGAACAGACTCCCAGTGATTTTAGTCCAATTCCTCATTACAATTTTTATCTGATTAGCAGTATGTGATAATGTTTGGTTTTCTGAGCTTGTGATGTAGAACTGTGTACTAGACTGAAGTTTGATTTGCCATAATTTACTACTGCTGCCCTCTTTTGTTGCAGATGAGAATTGACATTCTTAAAACTTTTTTTCATACGTGCATTCCTGCAGGATATTATTAGTTTTGTTATAGTATTTTTGCCTGTTTTGAAGACGTAGTGAATATTTTTAAACCTTCTCAACTGTCTTTGCTTCCAGTTTTTCTTCTTTTGTTTATTTGATTTTTAAGACAAACTATAGCCATGCTTAAAAACATTATTACATATATATTTGTTTGAAAATTTTGAAGTCACATTTAATAAATTTATTGTCTATTGTTGTCATGTCGCAGTCTTGTGTAATCTTATTATAATATGTATTTTAGATTACAGTCTGGCCTCTTCAAATTGGTGCATAAAAATAAACAAATAAATAATATTAGGTGACAAAAAATATGTGCATTTGGCTTAAAAACCTTTGTCTCTTGGATACAGAAAGTCTTCCTGAGAGCCTGGACATGCCAGGGCTGCCATTTGTCTTCTCCCCTCCAGTGACCAGGACTCGTTCCCACAAGATGGAGCCACTGGAGGAAGAGGAAGTCATTAAAGGCTCACCACTAGGGGCCACAAAGACAAAAGCCAAGAAGGAACCAAAGAAAGCTGCAGCAAAGAAAAGTACAAAGTGAGTGATTATGAGACTGTGTCTGTCTGTCTGTCACCATCTCAATTTGTTCATTTTTTTGCAGCATATTCATCAAGCAAGCATAAAATCAAAGATTAAAATAATTAACTTGCTTGATTGATATTTTAGATTCTATGGTATGGGGGCTGTTACGCATTTATCATGTTTTTTTTTTTTTTTACATTTGCACTAACTTTAACTAATTTTATGGTTACGCTGTGGTTTTGTTTTCCAGAACAAGAAAAACTACAGTTAGCAGTCCATCGGACAGTCCCGTTAGTTTGCTATCTCCATCCACAGAAGAGCACCAGGAGACATTGGTGCCAGCAAGGACTCGTGTCAGAAGGATGGCATCTCAGAGCCAGTCCTTGCGACCAAAGACTTCCCCAGCAAAAAAACGAAAAACAGTGAAGAAATGAAGATCAGGATCTTTAAAAAGACTGTCATTGCGTCATAATGACAATGGGTGGCACTGCTAGTCAGACCTATGGCATCTCATAGCCAATCCCTGCAACCAGAGACGTCACCGACAAAAAAGGAAAAAACAGCAAAAAAATAAAGATGGGAATTAAAAAAAAAAAAAAGACTGTTAGGTGGCACTGCTGTTCAGTTCTATTTATTAATTTTTATTTGTTTATTTAAGTGTTTATTTATGACTTGAGAAGGGACCTTTGTGGCTGATGAACTAGGACGTATTTTTTTCCAACTTTTTTGTAGACAAAAAAAGTTCTATAAAATACTGGATTTTGTGGGAGATATTAATCTGGGCTTTATAGTTGTGCATTGTAAAGGGAGTCTTTGATAATGCTTGCATTTATATTCCTGTTGTCTTACAAATATATTTTCTGCACATTCGACCTTTCTGGCCAGGTAAACAGTTAGTCCTATTACATGAAATCTTTAGTTAGTGATGAAATCATCACCGTAGTTGTAGTCAGATAGGACATGTTTTGCTAGTCAGACACTTAGTCTACTTCTCAGTTGCCTTACACCATTGCAGACTTGTTATACCATGTCATCTGCAATAAAACGACTATCTCATAAAATTCATTTACCTCAGGCTGCTTTTAGTAAAAACACCCACTCTCTAACATTTTTTTCGCTCTTTTGTGTATATTTGCATGTTATTATAAACATATGGTCATGTTAACTGTCCATTACATTTTTATTACCTTTTGCTTATATTTTCAAATTGTTATCGTTATTAGAGCCATCATGTCAATTTAATTCATTGTACTTTTGGTGTCAATATTTTTTTTCAAAATCTTGAACTTTTATGCCTGGATTATTATGGTTATTAGGTGCAGTATTGTCTTTTTTTTGCGTGTTTTTTTGTATGGTAGGTAAGGCTGTTATGACATGATAAAAATAAGAAAAATAAGTAAAAGAGGCAGATTTTTGTTGACAAGTTCTCCGTCTGGTATTGATAGCATTTTCCAATTGTCATTTCTTGTCACCAAGAACTTGGATGCTTAGATGCTTGAAAAATGCAATATTTGACTCTTAAAAATGTCAATTTAATATTCGGCATGTTCTGAAGAATTAGAAGGCCTACTTTTTTTTAGTGAGTATTGCCCTTTTCCAATCATGTTGATGTTTATTGATCGTGCCTTAAAAGTACGAATAGGGCAGTGAAGGAGTTAATCATTTCATATGTATTTAAAGAAATGTGAATTCATTTGTAAAAAGTCATAATTCTATACATAAGTAATTGATATTTAAAGGTTCACAAAGAAATGATATTTTTGTTTTTTTTTTTTCATAATTATCTGATTTAATTGTTACACATGATTTAAAAAATGCAATAAAATAACAATCGTAAGTAATAGTAGCTGTCTAATTATTAACTGAGCAATCAAATAAGAAAATGTTTCATTTTGAAAATTCTTAACATTAGGTCATGACTAGGATCTTGAAATTTGCCACCTTGAAATGTGCAATTACTTTTGCCCCAATAATATTTATCTATTGACCACTTTTTTCAAATTTAACTAAAATACACTGTTATAACAAAATTTATCCGGCTATATATGCCTTTTTATTCACATTATTCACATTTTACATTAGAAGGAACCTTTCTATTAAGTGTGTCAGTTGATAACAAATCGATCATATCGTTTGGATAAAATCGTGCTTAGGAAAAGTAATGGTGCAGGAGAACTTGTTAATGTTTATTTTGAACCGATATAAACTAACATATACTTTACAGGAATTGTATTCTATTTCAGTGAAGCTGAAGAACCAGTTTAACAAATAAACTTTCAACTGAAAGCCACAAAAAGTTCTTACTCAATATATAACATTTTTGGGCTGATAATTCTTTTATGAAACGGACTGAATTTTTCAACATGAGAGTTTATCTAGTACTGTATTGGCTAGGACAGTCTAAATTTTTTTTTTTTATTGCAAAAAAATTATTTTCTAAAGACAGTTCAATTCAGAATTAGTCCTATTTAAAGGATTCGGTCACTTCTTTCTCTCCAGGTGGTAATCCTTTGTGATGTCATTGACCATGGTGCCGTTGTAATTACTTCTGACGGAAGAGAAATGCGCGTGCGTCATTTGTCATGTCCATGTGACTCAAGGCTGAAAAAACGAGAAACATTCTGAATACATAAACTCTTACAAATTGCCTGGTTAAGACTTTTGTTATTCTGCTATACTTTCGTGGGCTGTCGTTACTTTCTTAATCTCTGTTTTATGTACAACACAACGAACCAACTTTCGGCCTAAAAGTTCTGATCTCTTTTACTCTTTCAAGTTAGAATGAACTTTGTTCTCTTTAACCCTGCCGCCAATGATAAAAACCCCTTTCAAAAGAGAAGAAAAACAAAAAACTACCTGCAATTGCTGATGTGAATCCTGCATTGTAGTCCGTGGCGACCTCGTTCTTGACGTAATCAGATCTGACGTCAGCATACTCGTCATGTTGACCCGGTCCTCCCACCAGGGCGCCGTACAGGACCTGGGGATTGGGGTTAGGAGTGGAGAACTGGGCCTGGCCGCAGGGGGCGGGACGGTTGGGGCATGAACTGAAATTATTGACGATAATAATAATAATAATAATAATAATAATAATAATAATAATAATGGCGACGATGACGACGCAACGGTGATAATAATAACTATTATAATGATTATTATTATTAATATTATTTTTATAAAAACAACAATAACGATAATGATGATTATATAAGCTTAACGAATTTTCACACTGCCATTGATACGAAAGTGAAACTAGCAAAATCATTTTAATATTCTGGTGCGCCAACCAAATTACCACTTACGCTCCACGGTGGTGTTCATGTGTTGGAGGATTGTTCCCAAAGCCCACTACGAAACTATGTCCTGCGTCTCCCAGCATATACCCGAGCTCCTTCTCTGCCCAGCTCTTGTACTGTGCTGTATTAATGCCCATGCTTGCGGCCTTCGCGGCTACAAACGCACTGTTAGCTGTGAAAAAAAAAAGAGGTATCGTTTACATGTTTTATATTCAGACTTTTTATATCACCAGAACTGAAAATATTTGCTAATAAACTGATACAAAATATATAGCGTCAGGCAGTTACGTCGTACTGAATTTCATTCACGTGAAGCATGCACAAATTATGTGTCCCCCCTCCCCCCCCCCTTCAAAAAATTAATACCAATGACCTAGCACCGCACGTTTTTCAACCTGACGTTTTATTTCTTGTGACGTCACAACCCACCTGCATATCTATTGAAGCACCACTGTAACCTCCAGGCCAGAACTATGACGTCACAACTCACCTGCGTATCTGTTAGAGCCCCACTGTAATCTCCAGGCCAGGCCCTTGGGGGTGTATGGCACGGACCCTCCGGGCAGCCACTGAGTCATGTACTGTACGACAGGGCGCTGATACTTGGCATTCTTGGTGATTCCATACAGCAGCAACTTTAGAAGAAATATATAGCAATACGTTATTGCGGTTAATTTGGTACTTCTGCATGACTCTAGGTATAAATTTTACAAATTTTAATAATATATTTTTCTTTTTGATTACTTCATTTACGAATCTTCTTTGCTTTTAAAATTTATTTTTTCATTCATGCATCCATTTATTATCCTTTGTATCAATTTATATGTTTATAATTTATTTATAGGTTTATTAATTTATAAAGTATCAAAGAAATTGATAATAATAACATAAAAAATAAGGGCTTAAGGCCGGTGATAGGGTTAAATACGCTTAAAATCATGTTTTTAAGTTTTTTGTGTGTTTATATTAATCAAAAAAGTATCTAACGTTGGATGTAATAATTTTTATGAATTTGCATCGCAAGATGTGTCTTTTGATGAGTTTTTCAACCGGCACGCGCCCCAGTCAGGCTGACAACTAAGCCACGCCTCTGTTACTAAGGGCCGTTGCCATGAGGGGGTCGGAGCACAGTTAATGAGTTATAAGCCGATTATGTGTGCGGTAATAGGTCATAAGTCTTACATTAGCTTAGCAGCGAAGAAGTCTAGCTAGTACACTCTTGGGAAGAGAAAANGTTATTGTCTTTTGAAGTGAATAACCCATTGAAATATGGGGTAATTTAACGTAAAAGATGATAAAATCAAAAGTAAATAGTTTAAGACAATTCCCTGGTACCGCGCTGAAGTGCTTTCACCCAGCTTTATGAGGCCTTTTGAATCACTTGAATAGCTGTCTTGGTTATAGAGAAAATCCCAATACCGAAAACGGCATTTTTCCCCTCAAATTGGCGCCAGAGCGTCATCCGTTGGACACTGTACTTAATCCCCGTCTTTAATTGGCCTTTTGGGAAGTTTGTTTTAATTTTTTATAAAAACTTATAAGCCCAGGGCTTTGTTTCTATGACTTTGGTCCTTTTACTATTAGTGGCCTTAACAACATCCTAATAAAACACGAATAAACATTGTTAACGCGATAATAGTCAGGACCCGAAGTACGTTTACCGGTTTGTAAGAGACTGCAGAGTGGCAGCTACCTTGACCCTTGACCTACCTGGCACGAAACGTAATTATCATCCCAGGACAAAGCCCACGAGACCCTGCCTTCGTCATATCCCATCGCGTCATTGAGATAGGTTTTATCTGACGTCGCTCTGTACAGCCAGGCTGCAGCGACACAGAGATCGTCTTTGAAACTGGATGACCTGTAGTATGAGAGACATTTTGGTTCTAGTGTTTACTCTGTAAAAGCCCTCTAAAGGGGTGTATTGTTTTAATCCATCTTCCGATTTTTGATTGTTATTATCATTTTGTACGAGTTATCTATATAAGATATATATATATTGTGCGATAATTCCAAATCAGGTGATGTTTGCATCATACATGCAATCCTTTTATCTGGAACGTGACAGATAAAGAGATAATTGGCGTTTTTTTTCAAAAGATACGTAAGTTTGTAATAAATAAGAGTAACATGCATAAATCAATCATAATTTTTATTGGAATATAGTAGTTGTTTTAGCACATTTAGTCAACTTTTAAGAAACAAGTCACTCACGTATAAAAGGGGCTAGCAGGTATTCCTCCTTCTCTGGTGTAAATTCCTTGGTGGGTTTTAGCGAAGTCGTACAACTCCTTGGCGTGTTTCAGCAGCTTGGCGGAGTATGCCGCGTCTGAAACAAATAATTACACAGGTTCAGGCGAGGGTTTACTCAAGACCTGAGGTCGGATGTGCTCAATTTATTAATGAGGTCTTATTGAGCCTCGGGTATCTTAATCCCGTATTAATCAATTTAGATGCATTGGGACGCAACATGGTCTACAGTCCACACAAGTCCTTGACAAGTCTGGCATTGTGGCAAACGTTTTCCTGCTAACGTGACGTCACAAAAATTACGTAATTTTAATCTTATATGAATACCACTGACTTTGCTGACGTCAGTGCAAAATAATTAAGGTAAGAGAAAGTGACCGAAAATAATTCAGTTTTTCAGTTTTAAGAAATTAAATAAATTATTCAGTTTTAAGAAATAAAACTATTTTAAGACGAAGGGGAACAAGTAGCCAAACTGAAACTGGATTACTCATGACATTGAAAAATGCCACAAAAATCTTAAAATTAACGTATTGGCTAATGAAATGAATGTAAAAGGAAAAAACAGTACTAAAACAGTATTAGTTCAAAATAAGACAAGTTTTAGGTAGAAAATGCGTTTCAAAATAATAGTAATGTATTAATTTTAAGCTGCAGTTTTATCATGCCATTTCATGAACAAAATAAATAAGCAGGTGTGAAATTACCATCTTTGAAAACTATGGAACCAGCCGCTAGTGTCGCCGCAGATTCTCCAACTACGTCACTTCCGGGTTTACTGGCGGAGAGTTTGTATGACGGACGATACATCTTCATGTCCTCGGCGCGTCCCCAGAACGAGTGGTCTGCGTTAGGGTCTCCCACCTGCCAACACAAAGGTAGATTAAGTAGAATATGACACCCTGAGTTTCTATTGCTGGAAAATGTTTTGTTAGCAGCATAGTGAGGCAGTTTCTGTCAAAAGAGATAAGGGAGAGGGTAGAGCAAGCATAAGCCTTCTGAACTGCAGGGTGAATGGAATCACTAGATGCAAATGTGTGTGTGTGTGTGTGTGTGTGTGTGTGTGTGTATGTGTGAGAGAGAGAGAGAGAGAGAGAGAGAGAGAGAGAGAGAGAGAGAGATTGCGTGTGTGTATGTGTGTGCGTTGGAAAATGTTTTGGTGTCTTATAGTCTTATACTACTCAGGATGCCCGAAATATGGAATCCATTAACATATGAAAGAGAAATGTATATAAAATTAAAAATGTAATGCATGAAGCGCTCACCTGTGCATAGAACTCGTCCTTCGCAGTGTGAGCTTTCATAAAATAGTCCATGGGCCATTTCACGCAGTTCTTCATGTTTTGGTATTCACCCGCCTTAACGTAGGCGTCCTTGTGGTCAATGAGGCCCCACGTGAGGGTCATTGCTGACCACGCCATTGGCAGGCCGAATTTAACATGGTCCCCGGCTAGAAATGTAATTTGGACGTTGAATGGCGGAGTCCGACTTACATTTGAACAGAACCTTCACATCTACAACACATCTTCATTTTGTATAGTTTATATAGTTTATATATTTTTAGCTTAATCATATTAAGTTTGAAGATACAATAATTGCTGAGCCTGTTTGTTACATTTGAAACTTTCTTTTAGTATTACTATATATCAGTTCTCATGACGTTATTTGGACTGGTGACAATTCTTCATTTGTTGTGCAGAAATTGAGGCGAATAAACATTATTATTATAAATGGACAAATTATCAACCTTTTCAAAATTTAAAATGGTGCCAGTCACCGCATGATAGCACAGGGCAAACTTTAGCAAGTAGAGCACGGTCAGTGCACTCGCACCTCTGACACACTGTCACAGAGCAAACTGTGTCACATCTAACACAATGTCGCACCTAACGCATTTAACACTGTCACAGCAAACACACTCACCGTCATACCATCCCCCTGTGAGATCCTGTCCTTGCTGTCCCTTGTCGCCCATAGCACTATCTCCTCGCCATTTTATTCTATTTTCAGGGGGCAGTTTCCCTGATCTCTGTGCCTCATAGAACAAACTAGACTTAGCCAGAATCTCTTTGTAGTTGTACTTGGCGCCGTGAGATGGCGCTGGAATAGAATTATGTGCTTATATTAAGCTTGGTTGTAATCATTGCTGTTTTATTTCAAATGATTAAGTTCATTAATCGCATTTGAAAACCCTTCTCTGCTTTTCTTTTTATCAAAATTTAGGTTGCATGAGGACAAAAAAGAATGATTTAAAAGCACAGTTCAAAACAAGGTTGGAACTTGGACCCATGTCCAAAAATAGTCACATACCTGTAACAACAGCCAAGACAATCCCAACAACTAGCACCGCTGATTCCATCCTGCAGATTACAGTGGCCTGAAATTGAACAAAATTTCTTTTTAGATCAAGTTATTTTTAAGTATTCAAACTATAAAACGTATATGCCTCCAATTTTTTTCCAACTGTCGGTAGACCTTTCACCCCGGAGACCGTAATTCATTGACCATACGTACATGAATACGAATTACAATATTGCTTCGTTTCAATCAAGACCAGAAAACGTATGATACAGAAAATTAGCGCCTCACTTAGAGACTAGAAGGTAACGAGTCAACTATTATCAATATAGTCCTAAAGCAAATGTAATGATACAGCACTAAGTTTGACAACAACGGTTGAAATAGGAGGAATAGACCTATCGCCATGACAAAATACCAACGGCTTATACACTGCCAAAATTGTCAAGATGCTAGGAAACGTCTTTTTTAAAATCACACGCAAACAAGGAAATTTCGATAAACAATCCGCAAGGTCTAGCTCAAACAAAACGTACCCATGGCTGTGAGTAATTCCCATAGGAAAACATATACATGTAGCTTAAGTCCAAATGCTTGTATCTTGAAAATGCATTCTATCAATCACAATGATCTTATGAGATATTTGACATATCCTGTATACCGTGTCCAATGCCGAATGGTAATTATCTCACAAGATAATTGGTGTTGATTAAAACCCCTTTTACACTGGACGGCGTCCTTTCTGCGTCCTTTGAGCGATCAGGAAACTGGCATGGCTGTGGTCGTAAAAAGGAGGCACAAGCATCGCTTTGGTTGCAGAAGGAATTTTCAATGATCGGCACGTGAAGTATTATGTGTTTTTTACTCTCAAACGGGGGCCGCACAACGGGACGCTGAAAGGACGCCGACCAGTGTAAAAGGGACTTAAATGAATTGACTTGATCTATTGGCATTACATAGCAATTGAAACTATTCCGCATAGAATTAGCTGTCAGTGGTATCCCTACCTACCTATTTCTTCTAGTGACAGTATCGGTTTGTGATCGATATTTATGTAGTCGTCTATCAGCTATTCATATCTATCATATCTATTGACGCCAGCTTTGCCTGATTCATATTCACGTTCTGGCTTAAACTTAGATAACCTAACCGAATTGGTACAATTATGTATTGCGATATTGTCAATTTATATCTTATCATTGTATAATGCCAATTAATGGCCTGAGTGTTATAAATCAATGCGGTGAAAATCACGCACGTTTTGTTTTGATGCTGTTCTATAATGACGTGATGTTCGTCTCGCGTGATCTTAAACTTTGTCCGTTTTCCAGCCAGATAATACACGATAAATGTGTGGTAAAAGCTTTCAACATGAGCATTTTAACCTGACAACCATTTTTAGTATTAAATCAGAAGTGTGCTCTTTTCAATATGGGTTCAAAACATATATTCGAAAAGCACAATTGGTTCTTTCGATCATTTGACTACTCAAACATCTTCCAGCCTTCATTCAAAGGCTTACTATAATATTGAAACCGATTAATTCAGTTTAGATGTGGAAAGTGCATCATCCAACAGTCCATTTTATGGGCTACTACTTTGGATTAAAAAAGTAAGCTTTATTCGTTTTACAAGACATATTGTGTTTAGTCTTGACATATGTTGTTTGACAATGTGAAACTCATTAACGTGCGTGCCGTGTTGTCGTGTTAGAGAAAGTGTCAAGAAGTGTTGGAGGTCAATACAAAGTAACAGGGTCACATTAAACATCACTGTAGGTGTGTCATTGTGCCAGTCAATCTAGTATTTAATGCTACAGTGTGTTTGGTGTGACGGTTTATAAGATATATAAAAATGGCCGCTGTCATCCAGATCATGCCAAAAACATAGTTGTTTAGTACAAGCAAGTATGCGTAAAGGGTAGAATAGTAGTGTTCCTTGGTTATAAGATTCATAGCAGGAAATTTTATCGTCAAAGGAAGACCACTGTCCACTTAGAAGCCTTGGCCACTCCCCTGGTCAGGCGGCAGCAGGTCAAGCGTCCATTGCTTCAGTGCTGGAAAGAAGATCACAGAAGTGCAGCACACAGCAGCAAATTATAAGTGATATATAATTAAACAATATGAACGAGAACGTTCATACGAAAAAAAACCAGTAAATGGGTTTCAAGAACCCTTAGTTTCAGAGGTCACTAAGATCTCACCTCTCTACTATCAACATGACTGTCATTTAGAGTTACACCCTGGGTTTCAGGTGCCACTAGGAACTCTAATATCAAAATAACTGTCGTTTTCATCATACCGGCCACGGCAGAGGCATATGTTTGTGAGTTAAGTTAACCCTATGAAACCCAGGGTGGTTCCATGCAACATTCAAACAAAATGCTTTCCATAAACTGGCTTTAAGTTTTGCAGGTTAAAGCCAGGTTCGAGCCATGCACTTGGCCACATTCACGTGGCTGATTTTAAAGATTTCATCGGGATGAAAACAGTCTTACACTGAAGGTTAAAAAAAAGCAACTGTCACCTTGAGTTTCCCAATGCTAACGGGGTCTTGTCCAATCGATATATTTCCAACGTAATCTGTGAGAAAAGGAGAGCTTCCGATGTAATCTGAAATTCAGGAAGCTTTCTTGCCACTGCCGAATGGAAGCCGGCGTTGTAGTCGATCTCCACTCAATTCTTGACGGCGTCCGTCCTTACTTACCCGCCACTGCCGACTGGAAGCCAGCGTTGTAGTCGATCCTCACTGCATTCTTGACGGCGTCCGTCCTCACGTCAGCGTAATCATCGTTCTTCCCAGGGCCTCCCACCAGGGCCCCAGTCAATACCTGTGGGTTGGGGCTGGGGGTGTCTTTGTTGGATTTGCCACACGGGCCGGGCCGCAAGGGGCAGGACCTAGTCGAAATGTGAATGAAATTTAAGTGTATGAATGAGTGAGTAAATTCAGTTAATTATTGAATGCATTAAAGGATGGAAAGACAGATTAACAAATTAACACAGATTAACAAATGAAATAAGGTTCGAAGAAATACGTAAATGTCCAAATAGAATGAAATATATTTTTAACATGTCGTATATGCCTCCAATATTTTTCTTATCAACGCGTGAGATGTTGCCTACTATCCTATAAGCAGCATACTGTAGGTCTTGTGCCTGGTTTGCAGAAGCCTTCCCCTTGCCACACCCGACAGCATAACTCCTCCGCTGTTTTTTTATTTTATTTTATTTTATCATTTATTTTTGAAAATAAGGCGCACTCAACATAGAACATTTTGTACTATTCATCTAGGTCTTAAATCTTTTCCTTCCTCTTTGTAAAATAGGCCTACATCTACAGAATCTTTTGTTTTGGATATGGTGGAAGGCACACCCAACCAGCTCTGTGCCCCTTTACTTACGCTGCACGATGATGTGGGTGTGTGGGTGGGTTGTTGCCAAAACCCACCACGTAGCTGCGGCCCGCGTCTCCCAACATGTAATGAATCTGATATTTGGCCCATGTCCGGTACTTGTCGCTTTGGATGCCGGCATCTGCGGCTCTCAGCGCCAGGAACGCACTATTGGCTTAAAGAGGGATATGACTAGTTGTTATTGTTATATTGGTATTATCAGATATAGAGTCGCCGAGGGCGGACATTGTGAAATATATGTTGTAAAAAATCAAACAACAGTCTTGGGTTACATCATCAGCAATGTAATATATATTGACTTGATGACGGCGCTTCATTCTCATTAAATTATGGTATCCGACTAAGTTAATGAAGCCACACCGCATGTTCTTGAGGGAAATTTTTCATTAATAGCTTAACTTTTTGATGGACAATTCGTACTTATCTAAGAAATGACCAGTCGACTGTTGAAAGGTTAGGTGTCACTTGCTTTATTTCAGGGCAAATGGTTCGAATTATGACGTCACAGTACTACACCACTGGGATACGGCATTCCACTTGTGTTCTTTTGATTTTGATGATATACAGACCAAAAGACTTTCCGAGATTACCTGCGTAGCGCAGCGGCCCTTTCTCTCCCCTCCAAGCCAGTCCCTTCGGCGTGTATGGCACGCTATCACCGGGGAGCCAGCTACTCATGTAGGTCTCTACGTCTTGCTTGTAGGTTGTTTCATTGGTCAGGATGTACAGGAGAAGCTATGGAAACCAATTGATAAACCGTAAATAGATTGCATAGTTTTTGGTACGTACTTTTTCAGAATAAAAATTTATACACGACTGACTGAATTTCATATAATCATCCCAGGACCACGCCCCTCACTGCCACTCTTACTTGACAGGCTACGGTATTATCATCCCAAGACCGCGCCCATGACATCTTATTACCCAACCCTCACTGTCAATCTTACCTGACAGGCTACGGTATTATCATCCCAAGACCACGCCCATGACATCTTATTCGCCGCCCATTTCTTGGCGTCTGACAGGTATTTCTGTTCGTTTGTTGCTCTGTACAACCAGGCGGCGGCCACACACAGATCATCAGTATAGCCACTTGAACTAAAGATGTTAAAAACATGACGTCACTGATTAATTCTAATGACGTCACACTTGATAAAAATCAGTTTGTTTTAGTAACACTGGCGGTGGGTTATGCTGATTACATAATGTCGCATTGCATTATGAATGATGACAGAATTAACATTATGTATTTTAATTACCGTAAATTAAAACGTCAATGATGGGGAAAATCATAATCTGAAATGATTACAAGAAAAGTTTGTGGAAATTAATAAATGCATTCTTTCGTGTTTCAGTCCAGGGTAATCGTAGATAATAATAATATTTATAGGTGTTCATATTGCTTAGAATATACTTTTGGTACGTGGGTTCTAACAGGAGACCAATACACTTTTCTACATGTATTATGACGAAAAAAAAAAAAAACAGAAGATTTCACCGCTTACGTATAGAGAGGATTGGCCGGAATATGTCCATCTGTAGTATATTTCCCCAAATATGAGCTACCAAAATTGTACAGTTCTTTGGCGTGGGCCAAAAGTTTGGAGGAGTCAGCAACTATGTAACGAAAAAGGAGCTTTGAAACAATCTTTTGTAGCTATTAATTGTTAATATGACGCGAAGGAATGGTTAATTTATGTAAGATATACCAAATTGAATAAATAAATAAATAAAAACGTTGTCACCATTCGCACGTTATTTTAATTACTTATTATTTATTTTAAAAAATTAATTTGAGGAAATGTTTAGGCGTTCCATTGAAACAAAATAAATGCAAATTAACTGCCGAGAATACCTTTTGACTTGAAAGCAATGGACCCAGCGGCAAGTGCCGCCGCAGTTTCTCCGGCTACGTCACTTCCGGGATTGCTGACGTCAACTTTGTACGACGGCCTATACATGTTCAGGTCCTCTGGACGGCCCCAGAACGCATGGTCAGCACTGATATCGCCACTCTGAATTATTATTATTATTATTATTATTATTATTATTATTATTATTATTATTATTACTTTGTTTTATAATTTAATGGTAAGCTTACTTCTCTTTACTCGGCTGATTTTTGCCGATTATGTGTTTTAAGTTGTTCTTATTAACATGCAGATATTCTGTCATACATAAAATTCCTCTATAAATACAAAAAAAATCAAACATACTTGTACATAGAGTTCATTTGTGGCGGTGTGTGTCTTAAGAAAGTAGTCTAACGGCCACTTGACGCAGTTAAGCATGTTTTCGTATTCACCAGAGTTGACGTAAGCGGCCTTGTAGTCCACCAGTCCCCATAGCAACGTCGTTGCTGACCAAGCCATTGGGAGGCCGAATTTCATGTGGTCACCTCCTGGAAACAGACCGACTTTGTGATCGACTTTGTGATCTTGTGATCGACTTTTTAAATCTACTTCATAATTTCCTGTTTACTATTTTTTCTTTTTAACATCCTAATTTGTACTTTTTAGTTTGTCTGTTTCATTATTTTTCTCTCTAACTTTTTATTTTGCATTCTGTAAACATTTCTTTGCTTCTTTTCATTTCTTTCATTCTTCCTTGCACGGTAAGCCTCAATAGTTTTCAGTGATGATATCGCTTTTTACCGTGTCTTACATTTTATTTTTCAATTTTTAGTATAACAGTTTTATACTGAACGCTTCAATTTTTTTACTGTATTTTCTATCAGCGAAGCAACTTCCATATCTCTGCTTGTCACGGCAAGATAGTATCTGGTTCGGTTTGGTAAAAATACATCAAATTACGTCATTTACTTTACTGACATCAGATAACCCATTGTGGCAGCATCAACTTGTATATCGTGGGAACCTCTGAGATTACAACTGTGAATCAGCATGTGTCAGATAAGGGGTAATGTACGAGTCTGGAATAGGGTGAGGGGGGGGGGGGGGCTGTAGGGAGGGGAGACAGAACAGGTATATGCATTGTACCTAGTTCACAGTCATAATACTTAGAAATCTGACAAAACAAGGGTTCATATGGCTCAGTGCAGTACCCCAAGGAATGCTCTAAACAGTGTCGCATTTAGCAAAATGCCACGTCCAACACAACATCAACATCACACCGTGGCTGAATCATTTCCGCCTAGCACACTGTCACACCTAGCACACTGTTAAACCTAACACACTGCCACACCTAACACAATTTCACACCTACCACACTGTCACACCTAACACACTGTCACTCCTAGCACACTGTTAAACCTAACACACTGTCACAGCTAACACAATGTCACATCTCACCAACTCACCGTCATACCAGCCTCCGGTAAGATCCTCCCTGTTTTTCCCCCTGTCTCCCAGCGCGCTGTTCCCCCTCCAGGATATCCTGTTGGTGCTGGGCAGTTTGCCTGACCTCTGGGACTCGTAAAACAAGATGGACTTTCGGAGGACCTCATCATAATCGTAAACAGAAGCTGAAATTATAAGTTCACGTTCAGTTCATAGTTATTGTTTGGTTTGATTATCAACAGTGAACACATAACATAAATTATAGGGGCTCGTATGAATCAATATACGTGTACAAGTAGTTTAAGATGTGTATCCTAAATTTAAAATTCACAAAAAAAAAGGAAAAGGAAAAGGGAAAGGGAAAAATATATAAAAGATGTAAGGATAGATAGGCCTACATAAACAAGAAAATGATACACGAATAGATGCGCCAACCTTTACATCCTAGATCCATCGATCATCAGGCCATATTGATGCAAAAGAAGGGCGATTTAGCTATAGAGATATACATATATAGTTATTGAAGATTTAGCTAAACAAAAAAGATTCAGCTATAGAAAAAATTAAAAGAGACCTGTATTTAACGAGGTAGTTGCCCCAGTTGGTCCAGTGACAGTGGCACTTTTGGCACCGCCCCACGCCAGGAAGTTCATCTTGATATGGTCCCCGGGTTGCTTCACGCCGTTGTGAGCTTTGTTTTTGATGTACCATACCTTTCCGTTCTGTTCGCTACGGACGACGTCAGCGTCCCATATCTAAAATAATTAAAGAAACAAACAAACAAACAAATAAATAAATCAATAAGTAATGAAATGGGAATAACTCATAGGCAAAATTAAATGGCGCAAATGGGATTAAATGGGAAAAACTTATTATTCAAAACGTAATCAATTGGCCTGTCGTGGTCACAAAGCATAACATTATGATGCAAATAAACAAATAACTGCGCCTTTTTGTGAAAACGGTGAGTTTTTGCAAAAGTAATGACCCATGGGCCCACTGAGAATAATGTTGCAATATAACCAATTACAGATTATTTAAAAAGACAATCATTTAAGGCTGCAGTTCTCCGCCAAGGAAATAGGAAATGAAATCTTTTAAAAATAATAGATATAATGAGGAAAATCGGAATCCGTTAAAATTGCACTATTGTTCCACTTTTAAAAAGACATCAACAATTGCAAAAAAATTTCTGTAATGTGCTTTCAGTTAAAAATAAACCAACAGTGATGAAGCATAAACTTTTTCGTAGACAGAGGTACAGTGTCAGAATAAAAAGAACATATTGGGCCGAACCTCAAGTCGATCAATAGGTTTGTCGAATGTCAAAGCCAGCGTCCATTCCTTGTGATTCTTTGTGACTGGAGCATTTATATACCCCTCAAACCCGTTATGCCACGACGCCAGAACTAAAGCATTGGGATCGTCGCTGATGGACGTCACAGCCGCGCTTTTAGCATTGCCTCTTGCGACGAAATTCATCGTTATTCTCTCTCCGGGTTGCTTTACGCCGTTGTGATCTTTGTTTTTGATGTACCATACTCTTTTGTTCATTTCACTGCGGACGACATCTGCATCCCATATCTGGAACAAAATCGCTTAAAATTGCAGGCAAAGTTGATTGTTTTACGTTCTGAGGACGTACATAGTGAAGCATGTGAATACCGAAAAAAGTGATAAATCATTTTTCAAAAATGTTTCCCTTACAAATAATAACGCTTTTTAAAGGTCCGCCTCCATTTGGCAATGATAGTGTTTAAAAAAGGAATAAAGTTAGAAGTGTTTTTATGAGATCAGAATAAGTGATATTTTAGTAGCCTAAAGCTTAATGATGAACTAAATATTTAAAAACAAGAAGCAAAATTATGCCTTCTGCTGTATCATATAAGGAACAAAATGTATTTGTCGCACAACACTTCTTTACTTCAAAAGGTTTATCTTTGATGTTAAAGATTTCCGTTCGACAAATCCTAAAATGATCTAAATAACATTGTAAAACTACATGAACTCGCCTCCAGATTCCGTAGTTGTTGATCAAATATTAGGCCCAGCGTCCAGCTGGTGTGGCTCTTGCTGACCGGTACAATGATGTACCCCTCGAAGCCTCCATCCCACGCTCCCATCACTTTAACTTCAGGGTTCCCAGAGAGTGAAGACACAGAGGCCCACTTAGCGGGGCCCCTAGCGACGAAATTCATGGCTACGCTCTCCCCCTGTTTCTTCGCGCCGTTGTAGTCTTTGTTTTTTATGTGCCATACTCGGTTGTTGAGTTCAGTGCCCACAATGTCGGCTTCCCAAATCTGAAAAAAAAATTGTGAAATTACGTTTACTGGGCCTCCACAAAACAAACAAAAAAAAAACTTGACTGCAAAAAGTTGTATTTCATGACACTTGCTCTATAACATATTTTTTTGATGTTTTTGTATGTTGTGTTTTCTTCGCACCAAAATATTTTTATTATCTTATACAATTTTCTAATTTACATTAAAAAGTGTATCCGTTTAAATCGACTGTGGAACTGTCCCCAAAACGATATCAAAGAAATCAAAATAATAAAACCTCCAGTTGCCACAACGGCTTGTCAAATATGAGGGTCAGTGTCCAGTTGGCGTGGTCCTTGCCGACCGGAGCAGTGATG